AGTTTCCCAGCAGATAGGCAGGTTTACCTCAATCCAGCAAACACTACTGAGCACCTACTATGTGTCAGGCAGCGGAGGCAGCGATGGAAGACCCTCTTACATCTAGAACAGATAGCGGTTACATAGCAGAGGTTCAGGGAAGCGTCCTGGGATTGGAACTCAGAGGAGGGAGAAATGAACCGTGATAGGCAGAGGGGCAGGAGGAAGGGCGCAGAGGAGTTTCCGCGCAGGCTGCTCCCTGAGCGGACGGGAAGCGCCTACCAGTCTGGGCAGAGTCACATGAAGCAAACGTCCAGGCATTTGTGGGGAATGGCAGATGATGCTGCTACTTAGTAGCACAGAGTGATCACAGGGAGCTGAAGCTGCTGAAACAAGGTAGGGCCTGTGGGCAAATGGGCCTGAATGCCAGCTACAGAGTTTAGCCTTTATAACCATAAGAAATGGGGAACCATGTGTGGGCTTTGAGCAACATTATGAGATATACATTCCAGGGCACTGACTCCAGGGGTATACAAATCTTGAGGGGAGAGGGGAGCAGGCAAGGTGGGGGAATCACAGGGCTCCTGAAAGAGACCACAGAAGAGATGGCAGTGGCCTCAGGCCCTTCGGTAACTGTCCACTGCCTTCCCAATCAAGTCCGGACTGCATGTATGGCACCCGGTGGCCTCTATCTTGTGTCATCTCCCTCCTCTCACTCAACCTCCTGGCCAAGCCGAATGACTCTCCCTCTCCTGTTCTTCTCTCCACCCAGCTTTCCGCCTGTCTCCCAGTACCTCTGGGTGTTAATGCACCTTCGTTTCCACACGCCCTACGAATGGCCGCCTCACTCCCTTCACTATCTCATCATCGCCACCTCCCGAATTCAGAGCCCGGTGAGGACAGAGACTGAGCCTGAAATGTCACCTCATCCCAGCACCCAGCACACTGCCTGGAAGCTTCTTACACTAGGAGTTCAATGAACATTTATTTGTTAAATGAATCAAAACAGAACTTGGGTTTTTGGTTTTTGTTTGTTTTTTTGTCTTTGCCCAAGGAGATATATATATATATATATATATATATATATATATATATATATATATATCAGCAAGGAAAAAGAGACAGGGACCCTCAAACACCAAGTCCAGCGGCGGCCAGGACAGCAGAAACGGTGGGCGGAACCCATCCCTGGCCACACACAGGCTCCCAGCGCAAACCGGCTCCCGGGGCAGCTGGGCCTGCAGGGGAGGCGCTTCCGGGCCTGGAAGAGCAGACACTGCAAAACAGGCTGAACGTGTCACAGCATGCGACCAGAGCAGTCCCAGGTAACTGCGCCCACACCAGCTCCCCTGCACACAGCCTCTCGGTGAGTGCAGTCACCTTTACACCAAAGACACTACCAAGCCCCAAGGCATCCCTGATTCTGGCTACAATCCTCCAAACTGTGACACCATCAGAATGCGGAGGCCTGTCATTGGGCCCCGCTGCCTTTCACTGTCCCAAAGGAAGCTTCACCTGGAGTCATCATCTCCCTTGCCGATCGCTAAGGGCCCTGGAGCAGTATCTCCTCCGCAGGTGACCTTGCCGAATCCTACCCACTCTGAGGAGCTGGGGGTGGGGGAGGTCAGCCTCCTCCCCAGAGGCAGCTGGCAGCTGCTTGTGCCCACAGTGGTCTCTCCCGGCTCAGACCACAAACACGGGCCCACTCAGCAGTTACCTACACGTCTGTCAGGATGCCCTCGGGATGGATGCATTTCACCCCAGTGCGGCAACGGGCCGGTGCCGTCGCTCCTTCCTACCGCTGCACTCCATGGAGCACCCGCCTTTCTGCCGCAGGCACTGAAGAGACCGGAGTGACTAAACCCCAGCCCGCCCTTGTGGGCCTTGCCATCCAGGGGAGGGTGGATAACACAAAATAAAACTGGACAAATTATGTTTATCACCAGAGGGCACAAATACGATCCAAAGCATGATTCTCACATCACCCTGTTTATTCCCTTTATATCATTTAGCTCAATCTGCAGCTGTTATATTTGTTTCTTTATCTACGGCTGGTCTGTCCCCACTAGCAGACACCAGGACAGGAAACTCTCTGTCTGGTGCACTACTGTGTCTCAGCATTCAACATGGACAAGGGCACGGAAACACACTCATTAGAAGCCGTATTTGTGGAAGGAATAACAAGAGAGGCAGTGAAGTGTCAGGAACTGTGGGAACTAAGCCCAACCTGGAGGCCCAAGCAATGCTTCCGCGGCAGGGACACCTGGGCTCGGCTGTGGAGAGTGAGGAAGGACCACCCGAAAGGGGTGAGACACAATCCAGGCGGGGACACAAGACGTGCAAAGGTAAGAAATGGCAATCAGCATGACAAGGTGCGGGGGCTGGGGCGGGGCGCGGCGCACAAAACCCTTAAATATTACTGTAGGCCAGTTGCTATCAAAGAGGGGTGATTTGCCCTCAGGTAACAAGAGGCAATGCCTGGAGACGTTTTTGATTGTCATGACTTAGGGCAGCAGGTGCTACCTAGCACCTGCTGGGTAGGGTCCAGGGAGACGGCTAAACACCCTAAAATGCCCAGCACAGCTTCCGCAGGATGGAGTATCGTTGTGTCTCAAAGATCAGCAGCGCTGAGGTTTAGCCGCTCAGCTTTTGCCTAACATTCAAGGGATGCAGTGGTCAGAGAACATAAAATCTTTCTTCTAAACTTCATGATTTCTATGCATGCCGTATTTCTTCTTTTGATTAGAATTTGGACCAATTTTATGGCAGTATTTACTTGCCACCACCGCAAACCTCCCAGAAGGGAAATGTTCAGTGAGGGGTGTCCAGGACCTATCGGGCCTCTATTCGAGCCAAAACAAGAGTATCAGCAGACTTCAGTGATCCTCACCAGGGACACAGCGTAATTTCCATCTACTAGGCCTCAGCATTTTCCTTCCAAAATCTAGCACTCCTAACTCCCCATCCCACGTGCAAGGTAATGGCATATAGAAAGATGAGGACAACAAAAGGTGCTCAGTAGCACCAGAGACATGGATAGACAGGCAGGCAGGCAGGCAGGCAGGCAGAAGAATGGACCCATAGACTTTTCAGGATAGCAAAAGACTGATTCTTTGGAGCTCCAAGGGTGAGTATCTGCGCTTTGCACACTTTTCAACAAAAGGGGAGTTGGCCTGATCGTTGGTAACCTCTGACTCATGCACTGTTATGGGAGGGCTGTCATGGAGAATGCTTAGAAGAAGTCATCTCCCCAGGACTCTAGAACCTTGGCAGGGTGTCAGGCAGCTGGACAGAAGCTGAGAGGTCAGTGAAGACAAAGTCCCCTTTGTCCAGAAGCAGCAAAACCCAGCAGGGCTGAGCCTGACCTTGACAATGAAATCTGCGGTAGGTCCAAAATTTGTTGGGGCCTGACCCCCAGTTCACCTTCTCATACTGCTTCACAACTGCTTCTCTTCAGCTAAAAGGCTCAGTCTATTTTGGCCTCTGGCAAACAATTCAGGATTCTCTGAAATGCCTGAATTGTGACTGTTAAAGGAAAAAAAAAAATCACGATTTTTTTCTGTGGCAAGAGAGCCAACAGTGGTATATTTCTAAAAAGTAGACCTCAGACACTCACAAAGGCTATTTCCAAGGCAGCTCAACTCCTACTAGGACAGAAAGCTTCCCAGATTTCCACATCCCTGAAGTAGGCACACTACCACCTACCTTACAAGTCCTACTAGTAATCCCAGGAAGGGATTATTCTAATAAGAAACACTTACAAATGATTCAGTGAATGAAAATTCAATTTCTATCTAAAGTTTCATGGCACTATCTGGTAGGTAGAGGAAGAAAAGACAGGAACTCTTCCCAGTCCTTAGGCAAACATGAGCCTTATGTCTAATACAGTGACTCTGTACTGAGCCACAGTTGGAAAGAAGGGACAGGTTGACCTAGAAAATTGAAATAGAAATCAAAGTAAATTTGCTACAATTCTAAGCAAGATCTGCAACTCTCAAAGTAGAAGGTCAGTATAGGCAGCGTCCAGTTGGCAAACGCAGTGTCTTCCAAAAATTCATTTTGCAAGTCAGATGTTCAGAACTTTCAGTGCAAGCATCATTTTCTGTCCCAAGCAAGCCCAGAAAAGCTGATTGAATTTATAGTATATCCAACATGCTATGCCCTTAGAGGGAAAATAGTAAAAAGCAATGTTTTAATATCATTTTTAAAAAGGTATCAAAATGCTTAGAAAAACAAATACACAGACAGCTACCATGAGCCTTGACCTGAAACCCAAACCATGAGCTGGAGCCTGGACTCCTGAGACCCAAGTCATTACCAAAATGGGGGTCCTGGGAAACTGAAAGAGGAGGCTGAGAACCCCAATTTCAAGTGGTTCTGCTGGGAGGAAAAAGGAGCCTGGCATCTCCCACGTGGAAGAGAAGGGTCTGGTGCCTACCAAGGATATACTCTAACAAACAGAAGTGCTGTCACCTCTAGAAGGGCACAGGGTATGTGACAGAACAGCAGCCACCTCGCCTGCTACCTCAACAGGCGCAGTGAGCTGCAGCCGAAGATAATGAGCGAGCCCACAGCCACCAAAGAACCAGGGAGGAGCGGGGAAGGGGGTTCCCAGCATGCTCTGCGGCTGCGTGGACAGCCAGGGCCCTGGGAGGCAGGGAGGAAGAATTTCCTGTCGTTGGCAATGGTTGGTTTAGGGATGCCCCGGGCCACATTTAATCTAACAAATGTGTTAGGCCAGGAAGAAAGTTTCTGAGTTTTAAGAGAGTGAAATTCGTATCAACTGATAAGGTACATAATCAGGTTTTTGGTGTCTTGAGAAGAGAACAGGGGACAAGGAGAGAGAGACCAGGGGGAATGCCGTACTCAACACAGCACTCACAGCTTACACAACAGGAAGGAGACTTCATTCCCAATTGTTGAGGAATACTATACCTGGGTCAATGCCAATACAAAAGGGGTGCAAAATTCTGAAACACGGTTTGAAAATTGAGAAGGTTTATCATTTATCCGCTTTGTACCTTCTTTAATCCTCCAAATAAAGTGCCAATCGCCAGGTCAAATTCTTGGTCCAATTGTTCTTCATGTTCTGACAAGAAAAACAGTGTCCATTAGTCACAACTCTAAATAAAACTGGGGTGGTTTAATAGCAGAGGCACTAAAAGAAACTGGAATATGTCCTGGAAAAGACGCCTGTGCACTGAGCTACAGGCATGGAAATGTGTCGTGCTCCTTGATCTTCCTCTCCAGTTTTCTGTGAGCAAAGTTCCTGGAAAGGCGCGGTAGGGCTGCTGGAAGTGTTCCCTCCCACTTGTAATAAGGCTCACAAGAGGAGAGGTGTCATGAGAGAAAGTGTCCAGCCCAGGGACCCATAGGAGGGATTAGAGCAAATGCCCCATTTGTACAGATGGTACAGTTTTTTTAAAACAGACCATTCCACACAGTGATGAGGATCATGGCCTCATAATATGATAAACACTAACGAGATTATAAAATAGAATCATATAATAGTAATACGTATATGTATAAGTACACAACACAATTGGCTTAAAACAAAAGATGTAATAAAATCTTCATTCAAATACTTCTTCAGGGTGTACAATAACCAGACAAGGTGTGAGGTACAAAGAATGAAACAGAACAAGATTAGCATGTCCTTTGCTCTCCTGGGGCTTACTGCACACTAGATAAGAGAGACAATTGAATAATAAAAAATTACAATAGTGTTAATGAGTGCCATGATATAGAAAGTAAGGAAGCTATGAATGTTGAGTTTGGGGCATCTATGTGATACACAGTCGGAAGCTGGATAGGCGTGGGTGGTCCTCCAGAGTGCTCTAAGTTGAAGATAAAGACTCAGTATAAGGGTAGTGATGAAGCCTCCAGAATGGCTGACATCACCCAAAAAGGTGCTCAGTGCATAGACAAGAACAGGGCAAACCACTGCTTATTGGAGCAACAAAAGTGCAAAAACCACAGAAAACCAAAGAGGAACTACCCAGGAAGATCAAAGGAAAACCAGAGGAGAGTGTGTTACTAAAACTTAGTCAAAAAATGGTGCTGATCTAGACCGAGTAAGGACCAAGGGGCAGAGACACACACACTAGATACAAACAGGAGCCCCACCTCAAACCCAAGGCAACACTGCCCTGGGAAGGACAGGAAAGGGAGGGGCGCTGAGCCCTGGGCCAGGGTGTGGCACACACAGCTCTGCCACACACTCACATGGCATTCCACGTGGTCCAGGAGGTGCTGGGGGTGTGGCTGCAGCAGGGCCTGTCTGGTTCTTTCTGTTAGAGCTGCACACACATCACACTGTGTGTGTGCGCGTGCGTATTCATGCACACGTGAACACACATGCGTGCTGTGTTGTGCACAGACTCAAGTCCAAGGCAACAGCCTGCAAACAGCAAGCTACTGCTATCCAGCAAAGAAGTAACAGGAGCTTCCTAATTAATTAACGTAAATTGGGTGGAAAACCTCCCTGCTTCCTGTCTCTTCCGTTTTAGCTTCACTTTCATACACAGAGCAACCTCCAGAAGCAACAGAATGATGGAGAATTGAAACAAGGCAGAAACTTGAGTTCTTTCTTTTTTCTTTGGAAAAAAAGAGTACATTCAGAAGCAGTGAAGTTTACACGCCCAGCCCAGCGCCAGACGTCCTGAAGCTGGAGAACACCTCCCTCTAGTGGGGAAAAGGAATCCCAAGCAGGCAGAGAATTATGACAAGATCCTGCCCAGCACTCTGACCGACTGAAATCCCACCTCACACACATTTATAATTTTAAGTCTCTAGTAGCCACATTTTTAAAGGTTTTAAAAAGTGAGATCAATTTTAGTATATTTCCTTTAACTAAATATGCCCCATGTATTATTTCAACATGAAATCCATATTAAACAATTATGAATGAGTTACTTTACATTCCTTTTTCTTACCAACTTTACATTCCTTTTTCTTACCAACTTTACATTCCTTTTTCTTACCAATTAATTCTTCCAAGCCCAATGTACATGTTCTCCTAACAGCACATCTCAACATGAAGTGGCCACATTTCAAGTGCGCGTTAGCCACATGTCTGATGGCTACAGTGATGGACAACACAGCCCCACCGGGGGGTCCAAGCCGCGGCCCACGGGCCGCATGCAGACCAGGAAGCCTGTGAATGTGGCCCAACACAAAACCGTAAATTTACTTAAAAACTTTTTTTTTTTTTTTTTTGCTCATTAGTTTTCATTAGTGTTTGTGTATTTAGTGTGCAGCCCAAGACAACGCTTCTTCTCGCAGTGTGGCCCAGAGACGCCAAAAGGCTGAACACCCCTGCTAGACCAAAATTCCCCCTCACGTCTCGGAGAACTTCTACAAATCACCCTTGTCTGATTTCTTGACACAAACAAATGCTATATAACATACATGTTAAATTACAACTTAAATCCATTCATGACCTCTTCGGAAATCAATGTCTTCAGTCGGCCTGAAGCCTGTCAAATATGCATTGAGGCAAAATGTGGTTGATACAGGAGCAGGGAGGCAGAGACTGCAGCAGGCGCTCCTTCCCTGAGGACCAGGCCCTCAGATCCTCTCTGATTATACCCTCCAGGAAGGGGCCCATGTTATCACTCTGTGGGCAAGACCAGTTTCCAGCTCACACACACTCAAGTAGGAGAGGGACGCAGACGGAGAGCAGTCTCCTCGGCCCGAGAAACTCTCTCCCCACCACACAACCCCCAATCCTGTGATGCACAAAAGTGCCTGAGAGCAGAGAAATGAAACAATTTCTGCTGATGAGCCCTCACTACTAAGTCAGCTGTTGATTCTCCTCTCTCCACCCACCACCCAATATGCCTGGTCTACCTACTGAGTAAGAGAATTTGCATTTTAATCGCTGCCAATGGGCTCTGGTGGTAAACCACTTACTTAAGAGCTCTAACTAACCTACCCCTTTCACCCTCAACAGTTTGATGGGAAATCAGTTCTTGGCGGGGAATGAAAGGGTAATCAGGGGCAGTAATCAGTGAGAGGGGACCTTACACACTCACATGCCCTCCAGTGACACAAACCACTCCCTGGGAGTAGCGACCCAATCTTGGCTTCACGTGTCCTGCTGTTTCTATGCATCTGAAAAATTCTAATCAGCTCCTACTGGTGTTTTATTTTTCTAGGAAGCCTGTGGGTATAGAAGACTGTGCTAGTAAATGAGAATAGAGAGAGGGAGCAGAAAAGATGGGCCTCTAAAGACAAGAAAATTTCATGGTGAGCAACTCTCAAATATTCCTGTAAAATATCATGCAGAAAAGGGAGGCTAAGGTGCTGGTTTTTCCGCAACATTCTTGAGGTGGGGGGGCTCCTCTCCTCCTCTCTCCTAACTGCCACTCAGAGAATGAAAACTGATTTAGAAATCCCCCAAGTAAAAGGAAACTGTATATGTAAATAGGATGCAAGGCAATAAAGGGTATAAATGGTCTCAAACTTTCCTAATAGGGCTGCTCATCTGCTATTCACCTAAGGAGTTCTGGGTCTGCCAAGGCAAACCACCAGGCATGCCATGAGCATGGAAGTCCTGAGGGCTCCAGGGAGAGGCAGAAGATTCTCCAGACCGAGATGGAGACAGTCCAGCAAAGAGGAAGCCATGAACTCTGTGCCCGTACTCTGTACTTGATCCAACATGGAGCCCTGCCTGGGGGAATGGGGAGCAAGGAGCTATGGAGACTTAATGCTAGGGCTGCCTTGAAACGTCCTGCCGCCGAGGCCCTGGCCCGAGCCATTGTGAGAGGTTTATTGAAAGCATGAAGAAAGCAGACTCCCTGGAAGCCGACTCTCCCCTCCTTTGAGGACCAGCCTCAAAACAGAAGGCAATGCAAGTGTGAGCCTGGAGGAGGAGGTGGGCTGGGAGACTTGGAATCCCCATAGGAAGGGGACCGTAAATGACGCTACTGTTTCCTGTGACCCTGGTCACAGGGAACAGGGAAACAAAGGACAAATATAACGCAAAGCACCAGGTCACTCAGAGCCTCCGCTGAGCCACAGCACCCACCACTAATGCTGGCCCTCACGCAGCCAGTCCATCTGTGACTCCCTCTGGGGCCCTGGAAGGGGCCAGGGTGGCCCTATCCCCAGTTAGCCAACTCACCTGCTTCCCAGGTCAAGGTCACCTACTCAAGGATAAGACCAGTAAGTGGCCTTTGTTTCCCGACTCTGAACTGCCCCCCCCCCACCAGAGTTACTGGCCACCTTGCAACCAAATTTCTCTAATCACAAAAGCAGACAGGAAAAATTACCTCCTGGTTAATAAAGCCCATCCCCCATAAGACGTTAGTGTGTTGCATGAACAACATAAAAGAATTAATCTATAGCTGTGGTTATATCACTGGGTTGAGTATTATCACTGCGGTTATATCACTGGGTTGAGTATTGGCCTGCAAACCAAAGGGTCGCCGGTTTGACTCCTGGTCAGGGCGCATTCCTGGGTTGGGGGCAGGGTCCCCAGTTGCAGGTGCACAAGAGGCAACCACACATCGATGTTTCTCTCCTTCTCTTTCTCCCTCCCTTCCCCTCTCTCAAAAATAAATAAAATCGTTAAAATAAAAAGGAATTAACCTATAAATGTGTGGCCACATCCTTTCTCATAAACTGAGATCAGTGACAAATGATAAGAAGAGGTGTGTATAGGAATAAGAAAAAGGTAGAAGGTGAATATGCTCAACTAAAGTCTTGTTTTTATACAGCGGGTGTCCACTCTAAGAACACCCACTAGATAAAAACAAAAAAAATGGAGGTGGCAATAAATAATTTCCTCCATATTTGCTTAAATATCAGGGCTCACGGGTGTCACAGATTTTCTTTAGAGAAACATAAACTACTGGTCACTGAAGATTAAAGAAATGAGAATCAAGCACTTGTGAAAGGAAATGCGAATCGATGGCAAGTGTAGTTCCGTGTATAAAATGTCACCAATACACAACTTTTCAGAATGATGCAACTGCATAAAAGGTGAGCCTGGGCTCTGAAAGCCAAAAGCTTCGAGAGCAGCTGCTGTTCCTTAGAAAGCAATCTTCACAGAAAACCAAAAAGTGGCAGAATTCATAAATAAAT